TTTTTTTTTTTTTTTCCTTTTTCAATTCCATGCGTTTTAGGTGCTGTGCCCCCGCCGTACGCCGCCTCACGTGACGGATGGGTTGCGTGCTCGGGACGCCGGCGGGAGCCGGAGATCAGCGCCGTCGCCGGAGAGAGAAGCGTGAGGCCGCTGCCGAGGGAGGTAATAATGTCGTTAGGGTTCGAGAGAGGGAGAGGAACCACCACACCGGCGATTTTCCGGCGCCGGAGCGCCGGAAACCTAGACTCGATCCGTGCGCCGTCACGCAGCAGGGATGGCCGTCGTGGTTGATGGCCGTCGCCGGCGAAGCAATCGGCGATTGGACTCCTCGTCGCGCGAACACGTTCGAGAAACTCGCTAAGGTGCTTTGATGAAGCTTTGCCTAATGTTCGTTTTATTGAGAAATTAAAATTGAAAATGGATCTTATGTATTACTCTTATTTTGTGTGTTGTTGTTTGTTTAGATTGGGCAAGGGACGTATAGTAATGTGTATAAGGCGAGGGACCTTGTTACGGGGAAGATTGTGGCATTGAAGAAAGTGAGATTTGATAATTTGGAGCCGGAGAGTGTTAAGTTCATGGCGAGAGAGATACTTGTTTTGAGGAGGCTTGATCACCCCAATGTTGTGAAGCTTGAGGGTTTGGTTACTTCTAGAATGTCGTGCAGTCTTTATTTGGTGTTTGAGTATATGGAGCATGATCTTGCAGGGCTTGCTGCTGGCCAAGGTGTTAAGTTCACTGAACCTCAGGTACCACGATTTTAAGCTGCTACTGGTTGAATGTATTTTGCATGTGATTTTGTTGTGATAAGAATTGGGTGTGGGACAGATGTAATTGGACTTGCAACCTTGGGTGTTGTGGATTTGTAATTTGGGTGTGTTTCATGACATGATTTTTTTGCCTTATCTGGTTTAAACTAGAAGTTCTTTCTTCCTAGAGTTTGGGCTTTTAATTTTGCTGCTAGAACTTTCTAGGCGATGTTGGGTCCCTTGCACAATTCTAAGCATATTTTGTGTCTATTTCACGATTCTTTGATGTCCTGAGCATCTCGCGTGGTGTTTTTTAAATTGCCTTTGACCTTGTTGTTACTGTTTTGAAAATTCCTTTATCATGTCCGTCTATGAAGTAAGGTTATTACTTAATTAGGAATAGTTTTGCTCTCCTTTCGGATGGAAAGAAATCTTACTTTTTTGGAAATAAGTCTGCATATATGTTTCAACAAGTAGTAATATTTTGTGCATGTGGAGAAGGGTAGTGGATTATTTGGTTATTATTATGAAGACATTATAATTTTAATTTCTAGTCTACCCCTGGTTTAAATGGAAAACAGAGTTTGCAAGATTTAATGATGGGTGACTTTACAGTTTACAATCGCATACAGTTGCAATTTGAATGTTAAATCATGAAAGGCTTATTTCTTGATTCATGGAGATTTTCACATTTAGTACTTGGTGGGGTTGTATGAAGCAGTGGTGCTTTTTTAATTATTGACAGACTGACTAGGAGGAGGACAGAATCATTCATATTACAAAATACAAAATAAAAGGAAAACTCGTGCTGAAAGGCTGATTGTCTCTCAGTATATTCTCTGACAGGTTAAATGCTTTATGAAGCAATTACTCTCTGGTCTTGAGCATTGCCACAGTCGAGGCGTGTTGCACCGTGATATCAAGGGTTCCAATCTGCTTATTGACAATGAAGGAGTCCTTAAAATTGCAGATTTTGGACTGGCAACTTTTTATGATCCTAAGATAAAACAGGCAATGACGAGCAGAGTTGTGACCCTTTGGTATCGTCCCCCTGAGCTGCTTCTTGGGGCTACATTGTATGGTGTTGGTATTGACCTTTGGAGTGCTGGTTGCATCTTGGCAGAGCTGCTTGCTGGAAAACCAATAATGCCTGGCCGAACAGAGGTATTGCTCTTCATCTTGCTTACAAGTGCTGTTGTATAAACTTTTAGCTTTTAGGATACTACTCTTTGTGATGCTTCTAATCTATTTACAAATATTTCAAGTACCAGTCTTATGTAGTAGTTAACTTTTTTTCCTGGCCATTTTATTAGAATGTTCTCTTAGACAACAACCAAATTCGGTAAGATAGGGACTTGTGTTGGGCTTGTCATCAACTTTTAGTTTGTTTGTTGATGGCACTAACCTATCATCTTGATGGGACCAGATGTAGTTTATCAACTAAAACACAAAAACCATATTAAAACGGACAGATGAAAGAGAAACAACAGAAAATGAGAACCGTTTAGTTTATGATCTGAAAGTGCAGAGTAATTAGTTGATGTATCCTTTCTGTGTGAATCCTGTACCCCCTGTGTGGCATTTATGTTATAAGTACTGTACCCTTTATCTGCATTGATATCCCTTTATTCTTCCCTGTTGAAATGAGTATTTTCATGATGATACATGATTGACTTTTGGGTTTCTTGGGGTTAGGTTGAACAACTGCACAAAATATTTAAATTGTGTGGTTCTCCATCTGAGGAATATTGGAGGAAGTATAGGTTGCCAAATGCTACCATCTTTAAACCCCAGCAGCCATATAAACGTTGCATCTCAGAAACATTCAAGGATTTTGCTCCATCTTCACTACCCTTAATTGAAACTCTTCTTGCAGTAGATCCCGATGATCGAGGCACTGCCTCAGCAGCACTAAATAGTGAAGTGAGTGATTACTGTGTATTAACCTTGCATTTGAGATGTAAACTCATTTTATATCTGTTTGCTATCCACAGTTCTTTACCACAGAGCCCCATGCTTGTGAACCATCGAGTTTGCCAAAGTATCCTCCCAGCAAAGAATTGGATGTAAAACTGAGAGATGAAGAAGCAAGAAGGTCCTCTTGTTTTTTTCTTGTATTTGATAATAATTTCTGGATTGATTTTATAGAGTTTCTCATTGATTGTTTCCGTTTCATCATCAGGCAAAAGGCTCTAAATGGAAAAGCTAGTGCAGTTGATGGTACAAAAAAAGTCAGAACAAGAGAGCGTGGTCGGGCCATTCCGGCCCCTGAAGCCAATGCAGAGATCCAAACAAACTTAGATGTAAGTCAGACGCATAGTTCTTGTGTTTATTTTTAATTTCCTACTCCTCAAACCGAAATTCGTGCTTATGTCATACATTTTCATGAATAATTGAATATCTTAATCTTGGACTAAGATACACTCTCATGACTAAGATACACTTTAGCTGAGTTTCCTTTATTTTTTTTTAATCTACGTACTAAAGCTGACATAGATTTTTCATGAAACCTTGCCATTTGCACGATTGGAAATATTTATAAATTGTAATGCTGTCTGGAACATGAGAGTTGAGTCCTAGATTCTTTAGCAATATTTTTACTTTGGATTCTCTGATCATGTCTACCCTGACATTTAAAATATGTTTTTGATGATAATCTTTTTATTCTCTGAGGACATAGAACTTTGTGAAAAAATTGTTTGATCTGATGATATTCACGGCAAATTGAGCTTTACACTTCAACAATGTCTTATATGCTGTCTTGAGCAACATTACATGTGTTCATCACTGAATTTCAGAGGTGGAGAGTTGTGACCCATGCAAATGCAAAAAGCAAGAGTGAGAAATTTCCCCCTCCTCATCAAGATGGTGCTGTTGGATATCCACAGGATGCATCGAATAAAGGACCTGTTTCGTTTGGCGCCCCTGACACTTCCTTTTCTTCAGGGATATTTAATCCAAAACCTTCCGCACCTGGTAGAAGTCATGCTGCTGCTGCAGGAGTTTACAGAGGGAGGAAAACTAAAAAAGAAGAGCCTCAGATGGCGTCATCGTGGAAATTCATGCGTCCATTCAAGCCATCAACAGTTGGACTTTCTATGGATTTATTATTTAGGAGCAAATAATCAGTTTCTTTTGATTTTGGCATCCTAGAATGAATGAGGATAGCAATGATTTAGGCCATGATACATCTTCTTGCATTTCGCAATGGTTTTCAATTTTTCTCTTGCACTCCTATTTTTTGTATTTCATTTGGCATAAAGTTGTTGCTGTATAATCTACAACGGGGATCCTTACATTTGTATATTTAGAGGATTAAATACTCCTGCTGTACAGTTTCTGGGAGGATTTGTTCTTCAGTCAATTTAGCTAGTAAATGATTTTTATAAAAAGTAGTGTCACGTCTAATGTTTTACTACCTCTTTCATTAAATATAAAACCTTTTTAATTAATTTACAAATTAATTAAGTTGGTTAATTTAGTTAATATCTCATGAGTTATTTTGACATCTCGTGTGATATGATATCTATTTTTTTTTCTCATCATGATAATTGTTATAAGTTTGATTAATTTTTATATTATGTATGTTGAGAAAATTATGCTTAAATTTTCATATATATTTAAAATATCTTCATGAAATCAAATAATTTATTTTAAAAATGATCTATATCCAATTAATTACAATACCATCATTAAATTTATTAAAAAAATTGTAATATATTTGGGAAGCAAATAATTAATCTCTCTATATATATATATAGAGAGAGAGAGAGGGGGGGAGGGAGGGAGGGAAGAGCAAGAGCCAAATAAGAACGAGAATTATTGATGATAATCATTAGAATAAAATAGACAACTTAGATTAAAAGACAACAAACAAACAAAAATTGTCATGTATGTCATTATTATATAATTATTATCACAACAATCATCATCAACTTCATTGTAATCACTGTTATTACCACTACTACCACCTTGCCACCATCGCTATTGTTGTATAAGAAATTTGATATACAAAATCTTAAGTATAATGTCACATAATTAAGTAATTTGATCAATTAAATTTGAATTATGCAAAAAGTTAAAATATAATATTTGGTATAAATTTTTATATTTACACGACCTTGTATTAATGGATCATAATTTTGTATATAAATATAGATAAATATTAAATTTTTTTATAATTTATATCATGTTTATAATTATTAAGGCGTTGTTTCATGTTGTTATCATTATTGTCTTAATCATTCTTATTGTCACTACTATCACTGTTGACACTACAACCATGACCACTATTGCATTGTCGTCATGCCATTTCACTATCACCTCTATTGCCACTTCCACCACTAATGTCTCTACTAACACGTATTATTGCCACTATAGCTGACTGTAGTGGCGACAACGATAGTGGTAACAATTATGGTAATGATTACGATGGTAGTGGTGTGATGGCAACAATGTAACAACGACAGAGACAACAATTGTGGTGGCTTGGTGAAGGTGAAGGTGGCAATGACAATTGCAATAACAATAATGACGATAACAATGATATAAAGAACTATAATAACAACAATTCGTAATAACTTTATTTGCAATATTTTAATTTAAATTATTTATTTTAATTTAAAGACTGTTTCACATACAGACCTAAATTTATAATATTTATTTTTTATTAATTATAAAATTGTAGAATAATTAAGTTTATTTTAGTAAAAAAATTAATACAATAGATAATAGCGAGTGAAGCGTGATAGCAAACTGAAAGTTAATTAGTTCCTCTTAGAAAACGAAAGAGAGAACCAAATTCTAAATGGAATTCCACCATTCGGAGTGTGTTTGAGAAAATCATAAAAATATGATTATTTTAATAATTGATTATATATATAATCAATTATAATCTAAATAAATTTTTGTTTGGGTAAATTGTTTGAAAAGCAATTTGAGAAGTTTAATTTCGATTGGATACAACAAAAATCATCTTTCATGTAGTAAATCAATTATAGGAGAAAACAAATTGTTGAAAAATAATCATAAGTTTCAAATTTTTAGATTGAAGAAAATAATTTATTTTCAGAAAAAAAAAAGTTTACTAATTTAATTAAGTTGTTATAAACAACCAACTTATTTTTTGCAAAAAGTTTTTTCTTTAAAAAACAACTAAAATCATGAAAAGAAGCTTTTCGGTGGAAAATATTATATATAATCTCATATTGTTTTTTTTAGAATTTTTTTTTTGTAAAATAAACTGTAAGTTGGAACAACAACTTACATTTGCAAATGGTTTTTTCATTGAAAAATAAACTGCTTTTTTTTTACTGAAAATAAATTGCTTTTAAGAAGATGAAAATTTGAAGTTTATGATTATTTTTAATAATTTTTTTTTTATTTTAAGCTGATTTATTATATAAAAATTGATTTTTTTTAATCCAAACGAAATTATAGATTTTAAAATCACTTATCAACAAACTCACTCAAGCATAATTTTATTTTAATTAATCAATTATAACGATAATCGATTATTCATATAATTAACTATTCAAATGATTTAATTTTTATATTATTCCCGAGCACACTCTTAATGGTGTGCAATTAATCATAATGAACATGTTATGATAAGCAAATGGATAAATTTAGTTTCCAAGCTAAATACATAGTACATACCACAACAAGTATAGATGATAATAAGAAACAATATTGTGTGAATATATATATTTTTCTGGTAGGATATCGTGAGTTGGTAAGAAGGTATTGGTCCTAAAAATGTAAAGATGCTCTTGATTGTTGACCTGGTTTGACACATGTCATAGGCAGAGATCCATGCAAAGAAAGAAAAAGAGAACCGCAACTTGAATTGAACAAATAAACTCAACTTGTGGTTCCGTTTTGAAAGTTGTGGTTTTTAAAGTACAAAAACAAACACCTAGAAAATTCTGGCTAAACCATGCCCCATAAATTGTTTGCTTATACCAACATTTGTCATGAACCCATATCGTATCGTCATCCACCAACGCCTAACCCCCAAGCCATGTTTTACATGAGATATAGTAATGTCCTTCAACTTCAACAACACAAACTCTTCAAGGAGGACAAATAAGAAGAAGAAGAAGAAGAAAATTCTTAAACATATGATAAAAGTCTTTCATGTTGTAGGGGTTTTAAAAGTTTGTTCCTTTGATTGATGATGTTGGTGCTTATGGGTTGAATTTTATGCCTTCACATGAATTGTTGATCATCATTTGAATCACACGTTGAGGTAGGTATTTTCATCATAGGAATATAAGAGGATGCTACATTTGGACATTCCATGCTTTGCTTGCATGATTTTAAGGGATAAATACAATGATGTGCTTCACATTATTTTTCAATCTAGATTATGTAAATAATACTTACGAACCAGTGGTTTTCTCCCTTACTATTGGATTGTTTGTTTGAGTTTATAAGCAAATTGGACATCCTTGGGACTTTGTTGAATTAATATTCTTTATTGGTGTCTCTAAAGATTAATTTATGGTTCAATTTCAAATAAGATCATTAACTGCTCATGTTAATGGTTTTGGAGGAAATGGATATTCATCAATTGTATGTAATGTCACTAGTGATGCAACTAAAGCTTATGAGTCGCAAGTCGGAAAAGAATTAATATCACCTTTGAATGGGATGGTGCTTGCGAATCATTTTAAAGGTGATCCACTAGAAATTGGTGGTGGTATTTATCAAAGCTGTTCAAAAGATGGGGATGATAATTCTAATGCTTCTCATGAGTATAAAAAAGTTCATACTGTAAACAACAATCCTATTCACTCTATGATCTGGTCTACATCTTGTTATCAAGAATTTTTAAATTCATTTAGTAATGACTCTACTATAAACCATAACGTACCTAGTCATCGTCATTCACATTGTGAACATAAAGAAATAACTAAAACAAGGTCACAACCAACTACATTGTCCATACCACCACTAAAGGTGTCATCATCACCCTCACCTTTGTCTCCTCTAGGTAAAATATCTTCTAAAAATGAAAATTTGGGAGAATGTATAAATATTGATAATATCTTGGATGATGGAAATTTGTCTTTTAATAATGTGGGACAATCACTTGATAGAACTTTTAAAGGCATTTTATCTACACAAGAGATAACAAGTAAAACACAACTCAATTCCAACAATATGCAACAAAAATCTGGCTTATTTACAGCCGATAATATGATTGATATGAAAGAGCATTTGACTCATCGCGCAAGCTTTCATCATCATGATGCCAAGTTATATGGAACTATGAGTAGAGTACCAATTAGAAGGTCCCTAGTTGGTTCATACGAGGAATCTTTGCTATCCGGTCGCCTACTATCTGGGAAAGTTAGTCAGGTTGGCATTCTCATATATTGGCCTCTACTTTATGCGCATTAATTTCCTAATGATGTTGGCATAATTTGAGTAACCTTTTGTTTATTTTACTTTGGTAATTGTTGTGGCTTCTATTTGCAGAAAATTGAAGGATTTCTTGCCATGTTGAATGTAACTGGTGGAAATTTCTCACCTCAATCACAAAAAATACCATTTGTAGTAACTAGTGTGGATGGATACAAGTACTTACTTTATTATTCATCAATTAGTCTTTCAGGAAGTCTATTATCAAGCAAGTCTAGAGTTGCTAAATTACAGAGAACCCTTAATGTGGAAGAATCGCGATTTAAAAAGACCACCCGTATACGTATACCTATGAAAGGGAACATTCAACTGGTAATTCACTATAAGAAAATTGTTGAAGATTTGATGCATAACTTAATTTTTTGAATATTCTATTGTCCATTCAACCTTTTTTATATTGTTAAAAAAACATGACAAGATAGGTTTGCACAACCTCCATATTAGATTTTTTTTTGGAGGTAAAAAGGATTCTGACATGGATTTTTAAGGAAGTGACTAATTGATACATGATGCCAAGAAGAAAAGGAGTTATCAAAACATCTATTTCAATGTTAGTAGAATTAGTTCTCGGTCTTTTACTAGTGCACCACATTCATCCTTGGAGAAATCTTAAATTATATTCACATATGATAATTGATAAATTTGAAAAATTTGTTCCAAACTATATGCCTAAGAAAAAATAAGCATGTAATTCTAAAAATGTGTTTGCTATCATCAATAGTTTCATAATGAAACCGACTTTACTAATGCTAGCTTAGTATATGATTTTGGATGCATGATAAATTGTTAAGTGTTCATTCCCCGTTTAGCCATCTCATTTTGTATTCATTGCAGAAATACTAATAACAAAACTAACTTCTTACCATCAACAATTTGGGTTAATATTAATATTATTGCTAAAGGAATAGGGTGATAAAAGTTATGTATGTAGATTAGTAGTTGTTGACTTTCTTTAACATGAGTTTCATATTTGTGGTGTTGTTTTGAAATAATTAGATGCCTAGTTTCTTGATTATTTATTTGTGTGTGTGACAATTTGACTGACCTAAATATAGGTTCTCAACAATCCAGAGAGGACACCTATTCATACCTTTATTTGCAATTACGATTTGAGTGACATGCCTGCTGGTACCAAGGTATAGGAATATTGTAGAAATATATCGCATTCAAAGTTTCATCACCTCCCCTGACCATGTAACCATTGATTCATATCACATACAATTATCTTGCTTTATTACTTCAATATTGGTTAGAATTTTTTTTTATTATAAATAGAACTGCTAAATGATATAAAGATGAATTAATCTAGTAAGTGAACATGATTGGTGTTTTAATTTTGTATCTCAAATCCATTAAGCTAACCTTTATTGTGATTGATCAATGTTATCTTTTTATTAGTTAATATCTTTTTCTATGCAAAGTCATACTTTAAAGTTTATGCAAAAAAAAACAATGTTCCAGTATTGAAAAATATTCATTTACTGTCACCCAATAACTTTTGGCAGAGTTAGTTCATGACATAGTATTATAGTCTCTATAATCAAGTGGTTTAGAGAAGAGAGAATAAAATGATGAGATTCTAAAAAGTTTTATAATTACGGTTTATACCATCACTAGTGAAAAAAATAGTTTTAAAATTGATCATTTTTTACTTTTAAAATTAGTTCTTTGATCAATTTTAAAAAGTTACACTTTTAACATCGATCATTAACCGATGTTAAAGTTATACTTTTAATATCGGTCATGCATAAACCAATTTTAAAAGTTAGACTTTTAACATCGGTCATGCATAAACCGATTTTAAAAGTTAGACTTCTAAATTGGAACAGGTCGTTCCAGGTTCCTCAAAAGGCCTAAAACTGTAGGCTGGAACGGCCCGTACTGAAAGCAGAACGGTCTGTACTACTATCAGAATTACCCATATTGTAACCAGAAAAGGTCGTTCTGCTTTCAGTACGGGTCATGCTACCAGTAGTACAGGCCGTTCTGCTCGCAGAACGGTCAGTTTTGCTTGCAGTACAGACCGTTCTGCTTGCAGTACGGGCCGTTCTAATTGCAGAACGGGTCGTTTCAGATTCAAAATTTACCAGAAAATAGCAAACTAGAGACATGAAAAGAAAATGAGAATGTTACCTGGATACAGTAGTCTTGCAAAGAAAATGAGAAGCTGAAGACTTTAGATGAGAGCGCGAGAGAGTAATTAAAGAAAGGAATGGAGGGAAAGATGAAAGAGAATGGAGGGAAAGATCAAAAACAATGGAGGAGAAGAGAGAAATTCATTACTTAAGTTCTGACATTTTTAAAATCGACTATTTAAAAACCGATTTTGTATGTAGTATACAAAATCGATTCTTGAAAAACCGATTTTGTACTAGTGCATCGTGTTTTCATTTTGTTTTTGTTGAAAAATATTAAAAATGACTTTTTTTTGTTTTCAATTTTGTCCATCATTTTGAAAATGATACATATAAAATATTTTTTAAGACCTAAACAAACATGTTTTCACGAGTATTTTCCATTTTTATTGAAAATGAAAACAAAAAATCATCATACCAAACATACCCTTAAAATTACATTATATATTTAACTTTGAATATAAATGTAAGAAACACAATTTGCAATGTTGTCTTCATATATTAGTTCTTAAAAAAAAAAAAAAAAAAAAAGAACTTGTATATGTTTAGTAATAGTGAACCTAATTATAATGAGGAAAAAACGTTAGCGATAAGATACAATCCAATTTTTGTTAATGTGCCCGCATTATGTTGAATGTAGACAAATCAAGTTCTCGTGAAAACATGATTTAGTAAATTAAATCCTACCTAGGCTGTTCATGTCTTACATTGTCAATCGGCAAAACCTTTTAGGCTTATCAGTGAAGCTTGCTTTTGTTAAATTAATTTGAAGTTTTATGTTTTGATTTAAATGAGTAATGTGTTTCTTATTTCTTCCCCTTTTTACACTATTATTATATAAAGTAATTTGTCAGTTCCATGTTTAATGAGTTTTGTTTATATTCCTATGAAGTAGACATTCTTGCGACAAAAGGTCACTTTAACTACGTCTAAAACAATGTCTATGATGGGAAAGGAAAGCCAAACAAACTTTGGCAACAGAGCTGATATCAAGTCTTCATTAATCTCACTCTCTAGTCAGATAAATAAAGATTTTCTCAACTCAAAATGTGAAAAACTTGATAGTTTTACACGTTCAAAGGCAGGTAAGGAAGAAAACACAAGTTCAATCAAATGCCTCGTTAATGAAGAAATTTTTTTACTTTGTTCTTCCAAGGTCATTAACAATTTTGTTATCACAGGCTTTTTGCTTTATGTTCTCCACCTTCGTTTTTTATGCCCTTTGCCTAAAAAACGTTCAAGGTCCGTTCATAAGTGTGAATCTAGTTCTATCTCTGCAAAAGTGAGAAACATTACGGACATTGAACATGAAAGAAGCTTCTACTTGTATGATGATATGAGGGTAGTGTTTCCTCAACGTCATTCAGATTCCGATGAAGGCAAGGTAAGTAAATAATATATATATATAT